ACATCAGCCATTTGAACAGGGCCTGCATGACTTAATCCTATATGACGAGGGCCTTTTCTGGTCTCTGAGCTGCAGTTTCTGTGTACAAATGCTTAGTCTCCATCCACCACATGGGGAAGCTGGCAGTGGGGACAGACTGTGTAAAGCATCTTTGACAGGAAGGCGCTCTGTGCAAGGAAGGAAAGTGCCTCTAACCTTCCCATTCCCCTCCTCTGCCCAGCTGGGAAGGCCATGGTCACATCTGCAGACACCAGGGCTATGGCTCCTAAAAGCTTCTGGTGGACCTTATCCGAGGGCACAGTGGGCTCAGGCCTGGCCGAGGCCATCTCACAGTATCCACTCAGGAGGCTACAGGCCCCAGAGAGTTTCTTAGAGACCCTTTTCAGAAGAAACAAGTAGAGCTGAGATAAATCAGGGCAAAGTTCCCAGAAAGAGTGCTCATCTCTTGGATGGGGGCATCTCTCTGGTGATGTTTAGAGACTTTCTCTAACTTTAGAACAGTTCTCAGATTGAGGGAGTTCCTCATCAGAATCATCACAAAGTCCTTAAAAACCGGCTACTTGAGAGGATCTCAGATCCACCAGCCCCTTGTAGCCTGATAACTTGTACCAACTGGGGCACTTACCAGAGGCAGCTGGAGCCAGGGTGAGGGAGAGATTTCTATAGCAGTATGACTGGGTCTGGCTACCTCTTGGGATACAGAGAAACAATTAAATCCTATTGAAATAATAAACAGTGGCAACACTTGAATTGTCAAATGTGACTTAACCCCACAGCATGCTTGAGCCATGTATGTGTCTGGAAGTGGTGCCCTTATTAAGATGTGAAGCACTGCTTTAGCCCATTTCAGTTAATGGAGAGTTAGATTTATGGTGGGCATTTAGAGGAGCTGGAGGCAAGACGCGGGTACGAGGTGTTTAGGCTTGAGAGCATCCTGTATCAGATTTATTATTAGCTGCTGTAACAAATGGCCACACACTAAGTGGATGAAAACAACACATGTTCATTATCTTACAGTCCGGGAGGCCAGAAACCTGACACTGCTCTCTGTGAATTAAAATCAAGGTGTGATCTTGGTTGCATTCCTTCTGGAAGCTCATAGGCAGAATCTGGTTCCTAGCCTTTGCCAGTTTCTAGAAGCTTCTGACATTCCTTGTTTTGAGGCTCCTTCCATTTTTATAACCCACAACAATTGGGTTGGTCTTTCTCACATTTTTGCCATACTGATCTAACATATCTGTTTCCCTTGTCCACATTGAAGGATGCTGGATAATTCAAGAAAATGTACCTATAATTCCATCTAGAACCTGGAATCTCTCCTTGCCATGTTACTTCATATATTCACAGATTTTGAAGATCAGGCATTATTCTGCTTCTCCTCATCCTTCTTTTCTGTTCTGGAAGTTTAAGACTAATGCTCCAGACATGTCTGTAAAGCCTGCACCCTGGGCCTGGGCAGACTCTGAGTGTCAGTGTACGGGCTGCCTGCCTCCTGAAATTCCACCTCAGTTTTTGTGCTTCTAACTGCCTCTGTCACTCCCACTACAGCTGCCCTCAGCTTAACAAGTCTTCCCAACCTCTGTTTTTGTCCTACATGTTGGTCAAAACCATCATTAAATAATTCAGCATTTTCCCACATCACTGCTGTTGACATTTTGGAGCTGATCATTCTTTGCTTCGGGTGGTGTTCCTGTGCATGGTATGATGTCTAACCATATCCCTGGGCTGTACCTACCAGCTACCAATAGCAGGTTGTGACAATTAAAAATCATCTCTAGTCATTGTTGGATGTTTCCTAGGAGAAACTGTCACTTACGCAAATTCTGCTTGAATGAATCAGTGAATATGTGTGAGTTTTCTTAAATTAATGATTAAGTCAGCCTAAAAGCACTGTATATGTGGATATAGATGTAGACTCTTGGTTGCCATAGTTTGGCTACCTGAGCAGAAGGTAGAATCTCATAAGAAATCATTCCTGCCAGGCACTGGTGGCTCATTCCTATAATCCTAGCTATTTAGGAGGCTGAGATCTGAGGATTGAGGTTTGGAGCCAGCACAAGCAGGAAATTCCATGAGATTCTTGTCTCCAGTTAACTGCCAGAAAACCAGAAGTGATGCTGTGGCTAAAGTGGTAGTCTTGAATGAAAAAGTTCAGGGACAGGCTGGGAAGGTGGCTCAGTGGTAGAGTGCTTGTCTTGCATACATGAGGCCCTGGGTTCGAATCCTCAGCACCACATAAGCAAAAAAAGCCAGAAGTGGTGCTGTGGCTCTAGCCTTGAGCAAAGGACTGGAACCTTCCTCCCCACAAAAAAGCACATCATTGTTTCATCAAAAAGTTGAACACCCCCGGCGCCGGTGGCTGTAATCCTAGCTACTCAGGAGGCTGAGATCTGAGGATCTCCGTTCGAAGCCAGCCCGGGCAGGATAGTCCGTGATACTGTTTATCTCCAATAAACCACTAGAAAACTGGAAGTGGTACTGTGGCTCAAGCGGTAGAGCACTCGCCTTGAGCTGAAGAGCATAGGGACAGCGCTCAAGCCCAGAGTTCAAGCCCCACGACCCACCAAAAAAAAAAAAGTTGAACACTAGGTTAAGCACCAGTGGCTTACTGTTGTAATCTTAGCTACTTAGGAAGCAGAGATCTCAGGATCGTTTTGAAGCCAGTTCTGGCAGGAAAGTCAGTGAGACTCTTATCTCTGATTAACCACAAAAAGCCAGAAGTGGAGCTGTGGGTCAAGTAGTAGGATACCAGTCTTGAGCTGAAAAGCTAAGTGACCAAAAAAAAAAATATGAAAAAATAAAAGAGCATTGACTTACAATGTGGCCCAGCAACTCCCTTCCTGGTTACATATCCAAAGGCATTGAAAGCAGGGACTCAAACAGATGTGTGTGTATGTGGACATACCAACTATGGCCCCAAAGTAAGAGCAACTCCAGTATCCAGTGACAGCTGAGTGGATAAACAAAATGCTGTGTGTCTATACAGTCAGGAAGGAACTTGTGTCATGTGCCACAGCATGGGTAAACCTTAAAGGTGTGCTAGCTGAATTAAGCCATACACAAAAAGACAGGTATCATATAATTCTTCTTATAGGAGGTGCCTGGAGAGTTCTTGGAGGTTCTTACAGAGTCATGAAGTGACATAGAGGTGACTGGAGCTGTGGCAGCAAGAATGAGAGCTATTGGTTAATCGGCACAAAGTATATTTGAAGTGGGTAGCAGTGAGGAGTGTGGATGATTGTGGGTGGCAGTAATGATTGCCTAACAGTGTGAATGCTCCTAACCACTGAATTGTATACCAAAAAATGATTAAAACAACATTTTGTGTTATGCATATATTATTACTTAGAACAGGTGCTTCATGCCAGCTGAGTATACAATCAGTAACATGGGAATGGGGAATGAGAGGAATATGGTAAGAGTAGTTCTAATGACTTTTATGGCTGGGATTGGCTCACTCAGTGTTTACACTGATTTCTAGAGGACAGCTCTGCCCTCTGGATGCAGATAGGAGGACCCCGTATAGAGGCTTGGAAGGCCACCTGATTGAGTACCCCAGCAACTGGAGACAGCCTCATCTGGAGGCCATATGTCCTGTCCGCAGGACAGCTGCTGCCCAGCTCCAGCTGGTTCTTGCCCTGTGGGAAGCCTGACTGTGGGTGAGAAATCCAGATTCTGGATTTGTATGCAAAGCGTCCTAATGTTTAAATGTTATTGGTTGGTTCACTGAACAGCAAGCAAGCAAATAAGCCACATGTGGGTCAAACAGAAGGACCTTTTCAGGCTCTAGTCCAGTCTGCAGTGTTTCTGGGAGCTCACAAGCTTGGGCTTTAGCTGGATTGCGATTTCTGCTCCTTTTACCAGATGCCATGTCATCTCTGAGGTGTTACACTGGCTCTCTTGATCCTCTTGTCCTTGCAAAGAGTAGTGAGGATAAGAATTCAAGTTCATGATTTCACTCAGACCAGAGTCTCCACTCCGCCATTTATGAACTATGCAACCATAGGTGACTTCTTTCTTTTCCATACCTCAGTTTCCTCCTCTGTCAAGTGAGAGGGTAATAGTTCCTGCTGCATAGAGTGAGGGTAGAGTACAGGAAGGTGCTTTATCTATATGGCAGGGGTGCCTGTAGGTTCACAGTACAAAACACTGGTGGGTTCATGGCTATACATACCCAGAGGCAGTGCTCTATTACTGATTTCTCTACACTCAGGGTGTGTGTGTGTGTGTGTATGTGTGTTACAAAAAGAATGATGGGCCCCTCTGGGTTTGCCCCTCACTGTGCTGTAAGTACTCATTTCTCATGCCTGTGCATCACAGGTTTTCCTGCGAGTGTTCATGATGTGGGCACAGTGAGGGACATGAGGCAGGACAGGCCTTTAGGACTACTTCCTCCTGCCTTGGGAAGTGCATCCTCAAGGAGTGGAGATTAAAGACATGTAGAAATTGAAGTCCTGGTACCCCCAACTCTGGCCTGCAGGTGAAGAAAGGCAAGAGGACATAATGAGAGCAGCTAGGGGACCAAAGTCCATTGGCTGACTTGTGAATTTGCTCCAGGTCTTCAGGGAAGACAAAGCTGTAACAGTCTTGGCTTCTGCCATGAAAAGTTATGGTCTAGTCTTGGGAGCAAATTCTAGGCACCAAGTGAGCTGAACAGCATGGGAGCTACTGAGGAAGAGCAGGGTATGGGGTGCTGATGTGGATGTATATGGGTGCAAGACCAGGCAGGAAACTCTGAAGCTTGCTGCCCACTTGGAAGATTTTGTGTGTGTGTGTGTGTGTGTGTGTGTGTGTGTGTGTGTGTGTGTGTGTGTGTACATGTACACGTATGTGTGCAGGTGTGTGAGAGAAAAAGAGATTTGGAAATGCATCACTGTTTTACTTAAAGCCCCCAGGGCCTCCAGTGCAGCAAACTGGGGTGGACAGGTTCATTGGGATGGGTCATAGGCCATTGAATCTTGGGCAGCACTCACATCAGCTTTTCTCCCTTATTTCTCCAGGGGGTGGAGGAAAACGCAAAGGGAAAAGCAAGAAGTGGAAGGAAATCCTGAAGTTTCCTCACATCAGCCAGTGTGAAGACCTCCGAAGAACCATAGGTAAGCCAACCAACTCCACCCCCCTTAGTGGTGTGGGGAGTCAGGAGGGGTTGATGTCAAGCCATCTGTGTAGCAAGTCCAATGAGACTCAACTAACTCAATATGATTCCAGAGATGCATGATGCTAGACTCACATCTTTGCCAGTGGGCACCAACATACAGCATTTGTTGACATTTTGGTGTGCACGAGGCTGAATTGTTGTTCCCAAGTTACCCTTTGAGGCAGGTCCTATTATTTTATTCCACATAGGGAAATGGAGATACAGTGGTACTGTGAATGACAGCTCATAGGAGGGCAATGGAGGTGGTCCAGGCCAGACCCTGAGTCCCTAAGCAGAGCTTTTCCATCCTTCCATCTAGTGCTTCCAGCTAGTGCTTCCTGTCTTCGGGAAGCAGCCATCTCTGGGCTCTACTTCCTTCTCCAGGGAATGTTGCTGCTTACCAGTGATCCACCATCCCAGTGGCATAGCCCAGTCCTCTTTCTGCAGTCCCCCATGGGCATCTCTACCAGGGCTGGGAATGGGCATTATAGATAAGGGTCTTCTGTTCTTGTCAGGGCCCTGCGGGCACTATGGTGACCATCAGAATTTATGCATGTGCTAAACACATTTTCTAATTCTCAGACTCATGAGGGTTAAATGCAGGGTGGCTCTGTTACCCAGAGCTCTACAGGCCCAGCTTCAGACTTGTGCCGAGGGCTGTAGGTAAATGACCCTGCTTTTGACCAGAAATGTGAAGTCACTCAAGGCCATTTTTTTAGATTTCCTGAATGGTTTCACCACGTCACCTGGCTTCTAGCAGTTTTCAGGGAGGTGAGACTTACATGCCATCCTCAGGCTTATCCTGTTCCTGGCATCCTTCTGGTACTCCGTGAGGGCAGGCAACAACGTGTGCTCTCTATGCCTGGTGTGGAGGAAGGGCTCGTTTAATTGGTATTTATGAATGAAAAGAAGCTGCCTGTTCCCTATGAAGGCAGATTGAGAGGGTGAAGCAAGGCTTGGGTGCTGAAGGATGGAGAAAGTACTCTTTGAGACTCATCTTCCATTCTGGACCTATCAGTGAGATGAGAGTTTCCATGAGAGTTTGTTGGCTATAGGACAAGTTATTTAATCTTGCTGAGCCTCAACTTCCCCAATTATAACATGGTAGCCATGAATCTAGTTACAGGGCAGTGGAATGGATCAATGGACCATGTATAGAGGACTTACCTGGAACCTCCTCAGTAGCTCTAGAGCTCACCCTTCTCAGCTCTCCATCTTTCTTTCCTGGAATTCTCTGCTTGGGCTTTCCCAAGTTAAGGCCTTGGGCACCTATGTTCACCTTTGTGGCCCATGGGCTAGATGGAAAGAAAAGGGCTTCTCTTCTGGAACGGGAAAGACCTTGCCCTCTAGGACTAGAAAGTGGCCTTTAGAGAAGGAAAACAGGGAAGGACCCTCTGGTGACGGGTCATTACCCTCCTGGGGTCATTTTGTTCCATGTAATTCATATTGGAAAGATGAGGGCTCAGAGGTATGGACCTCAGTTGCTTTGGTCGCCAGAGTCTAGAGAGAGGTAACTGTGTATTTGTTTTTTGTGACACAATACTTGAACAAAGCAACTTAGAGGAAGTAAGATTTATTCTGGTTCACAGTTTCAGAGGTGTCAGTTCATGGCCAGTTGGCTTCATTGCCAGGGGCCTGTGGTGGGCAAAGCTGAAACATTGTGACAGAAGGACACAGCAGAAGAAAGCTGCTCACCTTGTGGTAACTGGAAAAAGAAAGAAAGAAAGAGGGAAGGACTGAGGACAAGGTTTACCCTTCAAGGTTTACCGTCCAGTGACCTGCTCCAGGACACCCATTTTCTTAGCCTGACTTGGCTGAATCTGCTGTTACAAATTACATAGGCTGCAGCCTTAAACAACAGACATTTATTTATCACAGTTCTGGATGCTGGAAATCCAAGATAAAGGCCTGCTTCCTGGTATGCAGATGCCTCCATTGTGTCCTTGCATAACAGAGAGAGAGGAAAACAGCTGCTCGTGCCTTTTCCTATAAGGGCACCGGTTCCATTCATGAGCACACATGACCAAGTCCCCTCCTAAGACTACCACACTGGGGGTTTGATGAGGACAAACATTCTGGATCAGCAACCTAGTACAGGCTTCAAAGACCCAGCCAACCCTTCCTCTCTTCCTCTTCCTCTTCCTCTTCCTCTTCCTCTTCCTCCTCTTCTTCTTCTTCTTCTTCTTCTTCTTCTTCTTCTTCTTCTTCTTCTTCTTCTTCTTCTTCTTCTTCTTCTTCTTCTTCTTCTTCTTCTTCCTCCTCCTCCTCCTTCCTCCTTCTTCCTCCTCCTTCCTCCTCCTTCCTCCTCCTCCTTCCTCCTCCTTCCTCCTCCTTCCTCCTCCTCCTCCTCCTCCTCCTCCTCCTCCTCCTCCTCCTCCTTCTTCTTCTTCTTCTTCTTCTTCTTCTTCTTCTTTTTCTTCCTTCTCCTCCTCCTCCTCCTCTTCCTTCTTCTTCTTTCTTCTTTCTTCTTCTGTTAGTTGTGGGGTCTGAACTCTGGGCCTGGCGCTGTTCCTTAGCTCTTCAGCTCAAGGCTAGGTCTCTACCACTTGAGTCACAGCACCACTTCTGGCTTTTTCTGCTTACATGTTGCTGAAGAATTGAACCCAGGACAAGCGCTCTATCACTGAGCCAGCTTCCCCTTCCTCTCTTCTTATCTGCTCTGAGGGAGAACCTTGACCCTCTCAAGGACCTAGCCCTGTCAAGGTTTATGTCCACCCAGCGACTCCTTACAAGTCCACACATTCAGATCCCTTCTCCCCAGGGGCTTCCAGACTTTCTGGGAGCACTTGGACCTAGCTTCTCTAGGTCTATCATCAGGCCTCTTGCAAGCCTATACCCCCTTTCCCCAGGAGTGGGGGGTTAAGAGCCATGCATGCCTTGTTCTGATGTGTGGGAACTACGTTTCTGTCCTCCTAGAGGGTGTTGAAAAGATTCTATGTGTGTGTTCAGTGTGAAGAGAGGCCCGAGGAAAACAGGAAGGCCCATGGAAACTGAGGGGCTGGTGCGCATGGTCCAGGGCTTGGACCTTCTGCCTGTTTACAGTCCGTCGCCGTGGTGTTTGCCCTGCCTCTGCTGGGGTCCTGTTGGAAGGCCTTCTTAAATAAAAATCTCATTTCTTTTCTAGACCAATACACAAACCAAACAGTGGCAAACACCACATTTGTTTTTCTTGTGGACATATGAGCTCACTTTCTGAAGCTCTCTGGGAGGATGTCTTGGACCAGGCTTCATGCCAAGGTTCCAGGGCCCCTTTGGGCCCAGCAGTGGTGGTACAGTGCAGGGGGAAGGCTCTGGATCAGAGTGAAGGGCAGAACCTGGGGGACCAGGGCCTCTGGCCCCTTGGGATCACCCGAAACAGTGGTCAGGTAAAGCCACTCCCTCTCTGCTTCTTCAGCACTGCCTTAGGTCAACCACAGGCGTTTCTACCCAGAAATGGGGGTGATTTTTTAAAAAAGTCCTGTGAACCATTTCCCTGCTGAAACTACCCCATGCTGCTTAGAGCAAACCAACAGTTCTTCCCTGAGTGCTGTGGCTGTGGGTGAAGCCTACAGACCCCTTCTCAGAAGAATGCTTTTACATAAGTAAAATGGAACACACAGGGTTACCAAGGAAACCAATTCTTTTCAAATAGTTATTAAATACTTTTAAAATGTAAAATATAGAAATGTATGTGCTTCTTTGTTACTACTTTAAATAACAAGGTCTACCCAGCCAGTCTTAATAGCTATTGTAATTTTGCATTTGTGGTATTTTTGGATATGTGCAACAACTGGGATCAGAATGGATCTGAGAGTTCTACAGGTGACGAGTCCCAGACTCTGCTAACATTTGCTGTGGGCCATTGTCTAATTTTGAACGGCTTTCTCCATCCAAGTCTGTGGACTCTTGGTAGTGCTCTTCCTGCCCTGCCCACCCTCGGTTTCCTCAGGTCTCTTCCCTTTTCCTCAGAAGTTCACAGGCGCTCTGGTCACCTTTTTGCTTTGTGAATTCCGCAAGTTTGTCTCCATCCAGGAATCTTTTTTTTTGGGTCCGGTCGTGGGCCTGAACTTTGGGCCTGGGCGCTGTCCCTCAGCTCTTCAGCTCAAGGCTAGCGCTCTACCACTTGAGCCCCAGAGCCATTTCTGGCTTTTTTCTTTCTGCTTATGTGGTACTGAGGAATCGAACCCAGGGCCTCTGGCATGCAAGGCAAGCGCTCTACCACTGAGCCACCTTCCCAGCCCTCCATCCAGGAATCTTTACACCTACTATTCCTTCTGCTTAGGAAGTTCTTCCCACCCGCCTCCACCCCACCCTCTGGGAGGTGGGACATTTAGTTATCAGTTCAAATGTCACCTCCAAAGACAAGCCTTCTAGAAAGGCACTGTTCCCCAGCTCCTCTTTGCCTTCTTCCACACAATGCTATTTACTGAATGTTTTCTGCCCTAAAGTGGCTCCATCTGAAGCCATCTTTTCTTTAGCTATTTATTGGTATATTTTCTGTTCCTTGCACTGAACTGGATGTTCTGTGTTAGAAGTGACTGTGTCTAGCCTGAGTCCCTCTTGCAACAGTGCCTGCCACATAATAAGGCTTATTAAATTGTAAGTGAATGAGGGATTGAATGAAGTAAAACATCTGAAATTAGAGCTTAAGAAAAAAAGCTTGTGACATGTTTGCCATACTGAATTGATCCTCAGCCAATGGTTTCAGTAATGAAAGTTTAGCCTGAGGAGGTTTCTTAGAAAGCATCTACCTTAACACCTCTCTCATCCCCCATCCTTTACATATAGATGAGCGACAAGACTCTGTCTGTATCCTGTGCAGTAGGTATAGAAGTCAGGCTGGGCTTCTGGCCCAACTTGTCCCTCAGTTCATAGATTGAGTCCTTATTAGACTGATGGTAGGTTTGCATAGAATCCTTAGCTCAAAGAACTCCCTCCTGCCCTCTCCCTCCCCATTTCAGAAGTGAGGGCACAGATTCC